TATAGGTGGATACTGTCCTTTTGCCACCATTCCCAAGCTCTTTTATTAGGTGAGAACTTCATTAGCATCCACATTGATTCCAAAGTAAGGGTTAGGAAGTTGGGGAATAAGAAGATAGAATGGTGGAAATTCTTTCCTGAAAACTTTGGAATTTACAGTTGGAACAATTGTCTCCTTTCTTTTTCCCTCTAAATGTCTTTTCTTATTTTTCCATTACTTATTGAGTCCTCTCTCCCCTTCCCACCCCTACTCTCCTGCTACTTTCCTGCTTCCTCTTGTACCTCCACATGACTGGCTAACATCTGCTTAGTGATTGTTCCTGTGCCTGAAATGCAGTGTTGGGTGGACAGACACTGCCGGTTGGTGTGCAGAGATGATGAAGACAGCACCTTACACTGTTGAAATGGCAGAGGGTCCCATGTCCTTAGCCAGTATTTAACAATCCAGCCAATAACAGTTGATGGAGATATTGGCTAGATCACTCCTATAAAGTCCATGTGAGTCAGGACAAGAAAGAAAAATAGAAATAACAGATAGAAATGGCTTAGTGTCAGGTTCTTTTGTTTCCACATTTCATTAAACTCACAAATAGAGTTCTTGTGTCTGTCAGTCAAAGTGGATTGAGAATGGGAGTTGGCAGGACGAGGTTAAGTAGTAGTAGAGAGAGGTCATTTGGACTGGCCCTAGCTAAGGGGGCATTAGTTTTTTGGTTTTTTTTTTTTGGTGTGTGTGTATGTATGTGTATGTGTGTGATATTGGGGGATGGAATCTAGGACTTATTAAGCAATAACCTTGAGCAATTTCCCTAGCTCTTTAAACATTTTTCTTATTTTGAAACGGTCTTGCTAAATTTCCCTGGCTGGCCTTGGACTTGTTATCCTCCTTCTCCAGTCTTCTGAGTAGTTGAGATTACAAGAGTGTACCACTATGCCCAGCTACAATTTTAGTTTTGAAGATGGTTCCTCATCTGCCAGCCCTACATGGGGTTACACTGAGAGAATTAATGTTGGGGCCGGGGGAGCTGTGAGATTCAAAGTCATCTCAGTTGTATAGAAAGGTGCATAGAAAGTGGGAGTATCTTTGGGCTGGGAGAGCTGGTCCATCTTGTGATGAACGGGCCCGGGATGGACAGAGATGAATGGGATACTGAACAGAGCCCAAATATTGGGTTTCCTGGAAAGTCAGCTCAAATGCTTTCTTATTCTCTGAAGCCCACAGCTCCAGGGGTCAGAAGGTTCCCATGTGCTAAAAAAGATAAAGCATGCAAATTTACCGATTTTTCATTTAAATATATGAATTTTTTCATCATTCATTTTTACAGTATTTCATAGATTAATGCACTCATTCATTTATCTTCAGTCTGCTAGAGACTGTACATAAGCCAGCACACTGTGTATAAAAGCCTCGGAGCTTCAGCTTCCCCATCTGGAAGTATTATCTGTATCAGTATTATTCGTCTCAGGACATAGGTAAGAATGAAATGAAATAATGCACAATGTCCAGTACTACTCGGATCCTCTGAAACATTGCTGGAAACCTCTGTAATAGTCTGCAGTCTCTTGCTTGGTGTACAAATGCAAGCCTGAGGGGGGGGAAAAACTAAGACAGAGCTAAGAGAGACAGAGAGCAGGGCACCAAGATGGTCAATGTCGCTTTAGCAAAAGGTGCTGGCCTGTCAAAGCCACTGCTTCTTCTTCTTCTTTTTTAAAATCTTATTGAGTTTATTGGTACTTTTTGAGTATATAGTACAGTTACATTCATCATTGGGATCTTGTACAGGTCTTGGTACTCATTTTTTCCCCCTTCCCCCTGCCCCCCCCATTTGCAAAGACTTTGTTTCCATTTTTTCCTTTTCTCATATTTTTTCTTGTCCTTATTTCCTTTCCCCTAACCTTCCCACTTCCCCTACACCTTTAGCCCTTTTCTTCCTATTTTACCTTATAGTTCTAATTAGCTTTACAAACTCACTTTTAAGAAGTTATGCTATTTATCATGTTATTGTGTAATTATTTGAATCACTGCTGATTCAATCCTCCAAACAGCCACGTATTAAATGGAAACCCATAGGACCTCAGGCAAGATCTTATTTACAGCTATCTGGTTGGTGTTAAGCCCAGTATCTTGCACAGAGGCTAATATTTAAAGTATGTTTTGATTGATTGATTGATAGATGATGATAGGTTCAAGAGTGACAGCATGAATAGATTTGGTGTGGGCACAGGAGGAACATGTTTGGGATCCTTTGGGATTAGGGGAGCAGAAGACCTCTGCAGAGAAGGGTGCAGAGGAGTTCCCGGGTCTTGCTCAAGTCCTTGGGTCTTCTGTTCCTCAGTTAGCTCGTGCTTGGAACACACAGGCTTCACAGAGTGGAAAGTGGTCTAGGATGGGCCTGCACCCCCTAAAGCTTGGGCCTGGCATTGGTATTTTCACAAACAGGAGTTCATCCTCCACCAATTCGTTCATTAGGAATGCTTATCTCCTCACTTGGCCAATACCATTTATTAAGAACCTCCTCTGTGCCTAACACCAGGCACCCAGAGGCAATTGCTGGGTTGAAGAAGGGGCTCAGATCTCTCCACTGAGCCACAAGAAGTTTTCAGATGACACTTGCCCATGTGCTTGAATCTCCGGGCATGTGAAATTAAAAAAATTCCCTCAGATTACTGGCACCCACCCTCAACAGTTACCTCATTCTTTATTGCCCTCAGTGTAGGGAGGATCCAGGGACCTTTCCCTATTTTCCCATTTCACAGATGAAGAAATTGAGGCACAAGGGAGGAAGAGCGATTCACATTCATAGTTAGAGACAATGCTGGGATCAGTAGTGGTTCTTCACTGGCTGTTGGAGAGTGGGTTGAGGGAACATTGAACATGGCATTAAGTAGATATGGTAAAAGAGAGAGCAGTGGCATTGAGTAACATGCAGTCAATGGGTGGATGGGTATGAGGAGATGAAAAGCCCTTGACAAAAGTCTTGGAGTTAGTTTGGGCATCTGTGAAATCCCTTTCTGGGATGCTGTGGCCTCTCTCCACCATCTTCAGGCTGGCTTCGCCATCAGATGTCCGGTTCTGCCCATCCTTCTTTTCAATGCAAATTGACCCCTTTCCTCAAGGAAAATGAAAAGAGACCTCATCTCCAGAGGATGTGACAGAAAGGGATGTGGCTTTGGCCTTTGCATTTTAAAGACTTCTTTGGCTCTCTCGTTCCCTCCTGGAGGGACAACCCGAGGGGTCCAAGGATGGGTAGAGGGTGTGCTTGTCTGTGTGGAGGCCTAGCATGGCAGGTGTAGAAGCATTTTGATCCCAAAGGTAGAAGACCGGGCCCCTCCCCATGCTGGGTGTTTCCTGGGACTGGGGAGCAGCCTGCTGATGTAGCCAAAGCTCCATTCAGCCTCTGCTTTGCATGCTGGAGCCTGGAATCTAAATCACATATACCAAGGATTCATTTTCTCTTATTTGCCAGACTTCAAAGGGATAAAAATAATTTGCTTAGGCAACACAAATGCTCTAGACAAAAACAATGGAGTGCATCACTTTTATTTATGCAAGGACTGAGATTTTCATGCAGCGTGTGTAAGTACACATTTGATTTTGTGTTAAACCCGTTTGGACATAGAGGACCCTTTTGTGCTGGATGTCAAGTTTAAGATCTGACAAGATTAGGTGCTAACAATCATTCCTGGAATGAGTGAGAGGACTTGTAATGGCAGGTTGGGATTAAGTGTGTGTGACTGTTAAATTAATCCACTGATGGGTTTGGCATAATTCTGGGTGTACTTTCCTGGCTGGGACTGGTGTTCTGTTCCCCATGGGCTCTCCAGCAACGCTGTAGGCCCTGGTGGCCTGTGAATTGTTGCATGATGGCAAAAGCCTTTACTCTCCACTAGCCCTCTTTTGTCACCAACCCCTCAGGGAAATGGAGAGATGTCTTCCTCCACCCAGGCAGAGGAAGTTGAAGATGCTTATGTAATTTCTAGTGACATCTGAGGTGGTGGTGGCCTCGTGTCTACCCAGCATGACAAAAGCCCAAGCTGCCATTCAGTAATCTCTGACACCATCATAGGAGCCTATACCTCCTCATGGCCTGGGAAGAGCAGAAGTCTAGGCTCTCCACTCAGCCATTTTTGATGGAGGTGGGAGTGGGGCTGTAGATTTTCCTGTGGCTTTTGACTGGAGCAGAGTGGGCATTGTTTGAGTGGTCCCTATGCTAGACCGTCCCTTTCCCTGTCCTTTGGTTACAGAGAACAGACTTTAAAGAAAATCTCTGCAACTATTTGTGTTTCCAGATTTTCAGTTTCTCCAGCACCAGTGTGGGATACACGAGGCAGAAACAAACCAAAGGATCCTTATTTACACTTTTAGTTTCTCACACTGATATTTACACATTTGTGAAACTGGTATTTACACATGTGTGCCCTATTTATTTCACTTAAGGGTATGGCTTCGATGTGTATCCATTTAGCTATAAATGAAATAGGAAGAAAAGTTCCAAAGGATAACGGGAAGTGGGAGGGGTGCGGGAAAGGAATAAAGATGAGATGAGGAAAAAAATGGAAACAAAGTCTTTGTAAATAGGTAGGGGTGGAGCGGTTCAAGAGAGGGCAGGGGATGGGGAAAAATAAGAACCAAGAGTTATTATGTAAAGGTACAAGATCCCAATGAGGAATGTCATAATACTGTACACCTAAAATGTACCAATAGACTAAATTAAAAAAAAAAAAACCCAAAGGAATTTGCGATCGTCATTCCTTGAGGTTCCTGCCTGTTCTGCCTTTTCTTCACCTTACAGAGTATTCTTACATTTGTTGTATGTATAATGCTCAGGGTTTTAAACTCTACTTAGAAGAACAAGCACAGAAAAGGACATTGACTCTAGTTTTCTAGAAGTGTAAGTTGCCATTACCTGTTAGGTTTTACTGTGCTCCCAAACTCATCCTACCTCTCACTGCTAAATGGAAACTTATTAGTATTATTGTTTTTTTTTTTTTTTTTCTGGCCAGGAAAACATCCCATCCTTCGATGCATGGGCAACACTGGTGTCTGTAGACCCTCTTGCAAAAAGAATGAGCAGCCCTACTACTACTGCAGAAATTATCAACCATGCTGCCTCCAGTCCTACATGAGGATAAGCATCACTGGTGCAGAAGGAAATAATGATTGGTCCTATGGGAACCACTGGCCCAAGATACCTTGAATGCTGGCCGCAACAGTCCTCCACCTTTCTGGGAACGCAGAGCTGCTGTTTATTCCCCTGATTAAAATTTATGCACTTGCCACCTTGTCCGTCTTTTATTCACTGGAAACCACAGTGAGGGATTGGGTTCTGCATGGTGAGATGTCTCTGCTGCGGCCTGTGGCAGAGATTTGGACTGATGATCAAAAGGACTAGACCAGCCTGTGAAGATGAGGGAAGAAAGAAGTGGACACTAATAAGGGAAGCCTGAAGGGATTAGGCAGAGCTATGTAGGACTCAGAAAGGGAGCAGAACAAGTGGGATGGATCTGTAGAGCAGTGGGCAGAAACCTTGTCGACAAAATTGGCTTAGTTGACAGAGGAACTGCCTAACCAACAGAACTGTTATGGTGTGGAGTAAGTTGTCACCTCAAAGTTTCAAGTTGTGGGTTGGGGTTCTAGTTGATGGTTTTTTTTAAGAGTTGAAAAAATTTATTGAGAGAAAGAAAGCTTGTGTCTAAGAGACACAGAAGGGGGACCAGAGAGTGGGTTGCCTGCCCACCCCACTTCTCAAAAATATTTTATACAGCAAAGCCATGTGGTGAGGTGGGTACAAAGTGTGACAAAATTATAAGGCCCAGTGGAAAATTACAAGGTGGGCATGGGTGTGAGGTGGGCAAAACCATGACCAACCAATAAGATTACAAGTACAGTTACCCAGGTAATATTGATTAAATGGGGTCAAATGGGGTCTAGTTTATGTTTATTGAAGAAAGAGCTTGACTATTACCTGCTCTTGTTGCTCATGATCATTAAGATCCTTTCATTCCTGAAAATCTAGAAGGCTCACTCCTGCAATTATAACCAACACCAGATTTTAACAAAAAATTCTAATTTTATTTTTATATCTTACTTCCCACTAATATTTCATTTCTTTCTCCTTTAGTTGCAAATTTTGTCAACAGGAGATTATTTACCCTTGGCCATTATCTTTTTCTACTCCTGAGACTCCCTACAACTCATTATCATTTGCTTTTGCTCTGTTTATTCTACAGAACTGACTCTGATCCAAGTGACCAGTGGAACACCTTTTAGAAAAATTTGGTCTACTTGTATCTTACCCTGTCTCTGGGTAGCATTTCCACCATTTCTTATTCCTTCCTTGAAAACCTTAACTTTCTTGGGTTCTGTGACTTGATTCTTTGTTTTCTTAACTTTTAGGCCTCTTTCCCTCCTTTCTCTATGGGACTTTTTTTCTCATTTGTCCTCTTGCAGTCCTCTGAGGTTACTCTTATATTCTTAGAATTAAAAACCCTCCATATTTCTAGGAAAAAGCTGCTAATGCTACAGCTGTGATAACAAGTGAAAAAAAGTCTTTTTGATGATCAGTGACAACTTTCTTGAGTGAACACACCTCTAGTAACACATGGCCAATGACAGAATTGTGCTTTGAAATGACTTTCCAATGATCTCTGAATCCATGCATACAATAACCGACCCATTCCCAATCTGTAACTAACACAACTTCATACTCAAATGCTCTGTAGGTTCAACACTGTGCTCTGCTGAATGAGCCCATGCCTGGCCAGTATGGCTCTCCTAAAGGTAAGGTAACAATTATTTTTAGCATTTTGGATTTAGAATAGAGCAATATTTTCATCCTTTAATGATGATCTTTCCTCCTTCCTCCTGTGCTTCTGTGCATGCTCTCATACAACAAAGCTTAAAATGTAGTGAAAAATGATGATTCTAAACCTATGTTTCAGGAAGGATATTAGTCTAAGAACCCAGGTGGCCTTCTCATTGAAAATAGTTTTTTTTTTAAACTTCACTAAAATATCAACAAAATGTCTTAAGCATTTTTGACCTTTCAAGAAAGTAAGGCCAACAACGCCAAGCCCAAGTATAAGCAGATGCTTTCTCTGAAGGCAGTAGATGAAGCTGGTTTTTGTCTTGAAGACATTTGCATGAATCAGGTGAATTTGAACTCTGGTTGCTATAGCTTTGGGGAGGGTAGGACTGGGCAAAGGGGAGGAGCTGCCCCAGTAGGACACCCCTACATACTTCTTAGTCCTTAAATTGTGACATACACATGTAAGGACAAACTTATTACACATTCCTTCTTCAGCAGATGTTCTCAAGGAAAACTGCCTCAGTTTGCACTTTGGTCCTCAGTATATACATTAAAAAATTTCACTGAATATTTACAACCTCAAACTGACCCTTATTAGTCTCTCATCCTGAATTCGTGGTATATGAGTGGTTTGGAGAAAAAAAAGCCCTGATAAATTAGTTTAAAGTTGACCCAAGATTATAGTGCCAAGATTTCAGACAGAAGTAGATGAAGGAATAGACCTTTAACTGAGGACTCAACCAATACACTTGGATAAATTTCTGAGGGAATGTACCCAAATCATAACCTCAAATAACAAAACACATGAAGAAAGAGGCCAATATAAATTAAGGCCAGCAGAAGCCATACTCTAGAGAATAAGACCTCAAAGACTCTCAGTTATCAATTGTCAGGAATAGTAGACAGGTTTGAAAAAATAAAGTTCACAAGGCCTGAATTTCCCCTTATGAACTGGATATTGTACAGTGTAACCCCTTAAATAATAATATTAGAATTATGAAGAAGCATTGCAATGTTATGTGGAAATTATGTGTTCAAAATGAAGACTTAGCAAGTCTGGAAAGGATGAACTGCAGGAGTAGGTAGCTCAGTGGCTTCTAGTACCTATTCCTGCTTTCATCTTTCTCTATCACACACTAATGGTGTCATTTGGAATCTCCATGGTTAACTGACCAAGGAGGAAAAATCAGTGCCTGGTTTGTGGTGTGGTCTGCATGGTATGCTAGCACAGAAGTGCTGTATTATATCCTGGTGTAGGAGCAACTCTGAAAGACAGTGTTTAGGGAAATCCTTCTAGGAGACATAGGAATGGCCTAACATAGGAATCTATAGTAATTCATGGATAGTGGAAATAGATTGAATGGCTTTTCCAGGACTTAGAATGACAATATAACAATGAGGTCTGTGATAGCTATCTGGATGGACCACTGTGAAAGGGGCAAGATGTGAAGATATTTTCAGTGCTCTCGGAAGGGAGACAAATAAAGCCCTCACTAATCTAGTGAACAAATAATCCATCCTCCACCCACAATTCAGGGGCCATCCCTGTTGTTGGATGTCCATATCAGGCTGGGTCAAGGAAATATTCTCTGGAGCCAGCCCTTTTCAATCATTTCTATTCCAATCTTGTAGCAACTGGGACAAAGGAGTCTTTTAGCTCAGACTTCCTGCGTCAGCCCTTCTCCTAAGTGAGAGATAAGATGGATGTCGGGATCAAAGTTGGCAGGAAACTGGATGCTTTCATGAGAGGTGTCTACTGTTCTACAAAGAAAGCTTTTTAATAGCTACTCATGCAAGTTTTAGAATTTTGATCTTGACCACTTAATGGTTTCATCAAAAGGCAGGACAAATGTAAGCAGTACCCTTGGTATCCCAAGATAGTTGCTTGGAAGACAGGGCACATGGAAAGATCAATAGTGCTGGGATATTTAATTAAGTGATTAAGGCTTTGTACACATGTCACCTATACACAGGAACACTAAAAGTGAATTCAATCTTGTGGAAATTGTTGGACTTTTTAAGAAGATCATTTAAGAGTTTACCATGGGAAGTAGTGAATGTTTGGACTTCTTTACACAGCTGTTTTTTATCTAGAATTACATATGGGGGAGGTAAGGGTGGGTCATGATGTATTTCTAGTATCTTATTTTGTGACTTTGTCCATTGCTCTGAGGACATGGGTGAGTAACACTGAGAAGTCATAAAGTGTGGCGAACCTCCGGGGTCAACATCTGAGCTCCCTGGTCCTTGTCAGAGTCCTCACCTCAGTCGTTGACATTTTCTTCAAAGCGGTTTGCAGCGGGTACTGTCATAATCACATCAAAAGCACCTGATGGTAAATCGTACCAAGTGGTGGGAGTTGCCTTGGGAAGTATCTTGTCAAAGGCCCCTTGGCTGTGGCTTTTACTAGCTGAAATGCAGCAGATGCGATGATTTTTACAAACTTCTTTTATTGCTTCTCCGTATTTGCAGTGTTTCCTGCAGGTCCCCAATTTGTTCCGGCATTTTCTCCCATCACCGTAGGCTAAATAATCAAAGGAAAGACCACTGATTTTAGGTTGTTGATATTCTCAGTTTTAGTAGCATGACTGTGTACCCGGGCTCTCATAAGAACATCATGGGTGATAACGAGATTATGGTCATAAGTCTGTCACCACAGAAGTGAGATGAATCTGAGCATCAGTGCAAAGAAACTGGAGCCAGTTATAATGAAGCTACCTGGGCCCGTGCCTAGCTATCCACATCAAGAACTTTAACTATGGCTAAGTTATTTGCATTTGGTTAAATTAATTTGAATACATGCTACTGAAATTATGCCTGTGCATATAAAAGATATCTGTGTAAAGACTAATAATAAAATGAAATAACCGTGTATCTGTACCTTGATTGAGGACTAGACCATTACTAGGAACTTACAATTGTGTGTTTTTATGTGACAGATTTAATTTATTTGGGGATTAGGCCAGTGATTCTTCAACCCTCATATGCATATGAACCCCATAGAGGTCTTGCTGAAAGGTAGATTCTGATTCATTTGGTGGGGCATGGACTGAGTTTATATTTCCTAACAAATTTCTAGGTGATGCCGATATTGTCAGTCCATAAGCCACACTCCTTGCAGCAAGGTTTGAAGGCATTAAAAAAAAAAAAAACACAACGCAGTAAGTTCCGTGTACTCAGCATCATACATCCTATGACTTCCAGCCAAATAAAGTACAATTAGAATGAAATATCCCTTATATTTGGAAATTAAACGTGTGGCAAAAAATAAAACTCGGATAGTAGTAGTAAAAAGTCAGAAATAACGAAGTCAGAAGTAACAAAATCAGAAGACTTCTGGAAAGACTGATCAAGGAAAAAGGACAATAAAATCATCAGGATGAAACACTGAAATAAAAACAGATACAGCATATTAAAAACAACAGAACAGAATTATCAATAAGTGTATGCTGATAAAATTGAAAACCTAGATGAAGTGAGTAAATTCCCCCCAAATTTAGAGGGGTGGCATTGGGAAAACAATAAATTAGTAAATGTTAAGAAATTGAAATAGTAGTGTAAGACTAATCCTTAAAGCTTCCCCGAAGCCTTGGCCCTGGATGATTTCTTTTTCAAATTGTAGTAAAATACACACAACATGAAATTTACCACCTTAGCCATTTTTAGGTGTACAGTTCAGCGGCATTAAGTGCCTTCTTATTGTGCTAACATCACCACTGTTGATTCTCAGAGCTCTTCTTATTTTGCAAAGCTGACACTGTACACCTGTTAAACAGTGAATCTCTATTTTTGTACTCCCCAGCCCTTGGAAACCATCATTCTACTTTCTGTCTCTATAAAACTGACTACTCTTAAGTTTCTCATATGATTAGAATCATACAATATTTTTCCTTTGTGAGTTAAGTAAAGCCTTCATGACTCATTTATATTATCATGTGCCCGAATTTTCTGCCCTTTTAAGGCTGAATAATATTCCATTGCATGTATATACCATGTTTCATTTATTCATTGATCTACCAATGGATATTTGAGTTGTTTTCATCTTTTGGCTCTTGTGAATAACACTTTGCTATTAGATGATTTTAAAAGTGAGTTCTACAGATTTCACAGGTGACTTAGGTACTAGTTTGTATAAAATACTCTAGAAAATGGGGCAAGGGGAGAAAAGCTACTTGGCTTAATGTATGATGCTACTACAATTTTGGTTCTAAAACCAGAAAGTTGTAAATTTGTTTGTCTGCAGAAGAAAAAAATACCCCAAATTAAATATTATTCAACTGAATTCAGCAGTATATTAAAATACATCATGATCAAGTAGGGTTTAACCTTAAATGAAAAATATCATCCAACATTAAAAATCTATTAATGCAATTCACAATTTTTCTTGAATTAAGGAGATAAATAATTATCTTGATGCAGAAAAATGATTTGATAAAATTTATTGCTTGCTTATGATGAAAACACCAAGAGAAGTAAAGCTAGAAGGGATTTTCCTTAAGTTCATGAAGGTTATGTATCAAATTCTAGTGCAAACATTAACTGACAGAGAAACTTGAATTACCCCAATATTAGGAAAACAAAAATACTCTCTATTGTCATTATTGACTAAATAATAGTGATGGACCTGGTCAATGTCAGCTCCATCTTCTGCATAGCAGCTCTGCAGGTATTTTCTGACCCGTTCACCAACTTCTAGAGTATGAGGAAAGTAAAAGGACTTCATTTGAAGGTGTAAAAGTACTTTTAGGACAAGAAAACACAGGGAAGTATGTGTTGAGAATCTTTCTCAAGAACTGGTACAAGCGGCAGAGAGAATCACAGTGAATAAATCTCTCACCTGATGCCTCAGGTGGAAACTTGGAATACAAAACCAGGGACAACTGTGGGTGTTGGTTTGCTCCTTCCTGTCTGTTGAGGATCACTTGTCATGCCCCAGGCTCTACTGCTGCCAAGGACATAGTCTTAACTCGGGCGCTGTGCGGCTGTGCCAGCTGCACATTGAAATCTCCACAGGCCGGAGCCCATTATACCTTCATTTTTGTAGCTTCCTTGGGTTCTGATTACCTGGGATCACTTGGAGCAGGAATACAAAGACAGAAAAAGCCACCAGCTGAAGCTTCATGGTCCTTGAGAAGTAGGAGGCAGGAGATCTAGGAGTCCAGAACACCGAGTGCAGCCTGAATCTGATCAAGAGTTTTATTGGCCGCTCTGTAGTGGAGGCAGAGGGATGGACTTATAACCAGACAGGTTGTAAAAATGTATCCATGCGAAACAGTCTGTTGGCTGGTGCCCTGGGGAGGGCCTGGTACAGGCACTAGAGGGACATGCAGAGGGTTTAAGTCAGATTTCAAGAGAGTTTGGAGACATGGAGAAGAACTCACATAATCAGACCTGTTCCCTGGCTTCCCCAGGTCTCTCTTTGGGGTCCAGCTTTGACTCACAGTTCCTCTCACTCAGGCAGAGGCCTACTTTTGGTTTTTTATTTTGTTTTTTTAATTTTTTTTCTCATTGAGTTCATTGGTACATTTTAGGTTTACAGAACAGTTACCTTCATCACTGGGATCTTGCACCTTTACTTGACAGGTCTTGGTTCTCATTTTTTCCCCTTACCCTTGCCCCCCTTCCCTATTTACAAATACTTATTTCCATTTTTAATTTTTTTCACATTTTTTTCTTTTACCTTATTTCCTCTCCCCTCCCCTTCCCACTTCCCCTACACCTTTAGCCCTTTTCTTCCTATTTCACATACTTTTGAGCCACCTCTTTATGTGTCTCTGCACTGGGGTATGAGGTTCCTAAGAATAAGGATGAAATCTCATTTTTGAATTCCCAAGTCACAAAGTACATCCACAGTGAAGGTTTGTGGAAATAAAACATAATAAATACATGATCATGTGTAGGCTAGATCTCTCATATATGTTCCCCACAGGTAAAGTGATTTGCCTTAGATAAATAAAATTAACTTGCTGCAGAGTATGAGGAAGATCATTTATAATATGACTCAAATAGGATGCAATAAGCCATTACTCAATGTCATCAAGAAATGCTCCCTCCCAGAGGTGGCTCTGCAGTAACCTTGACAAGGACACCACTGTGCTCCTTGGAAGTCTGAGAGGACCCTAACGTTTAGCTCTGCCTTGGGGAAGAAGAGTCAGCCTAGGCCCACCTTGCTATGGTCACATTTTCACACTTATTTTAACTCTTGCTTCCTCTTTTTTACTTCATCCTAAAGTTTCCCATAAACTGTAGAGGAGTTTGCTGATTTCCCTTTTCTGGAATTGATGGCTTTTCTGGGAGGATTTAGGAGGGCTGCCATGTGGATGAAAACCCTTCTCTTCTGGATGGCACCACACGAAGTTGTCTAGTATGGCGATGGCCTTTTTCCATACCATTGTTAGATGAATATACTCTAACACGTTAATAGCAGAGCTTCCTACCACAGAAAGGCTGTTCAGGCCGGTTAAAGGTGTTCTATAACTGATTTTTTCCCAAGGTGGAGCTAAACAATGAGAAAGGAGGGATTTTTACAAAGGAGAGAGAATGTCTTTCCTAGCTCTTTCCAAGCATAAAAATCTATGTTCTTAACTATTTAAGTGGATTCTGGCCATGTTCTGAGGATGAGAGACTTTCTAAGCTGGCAGAGAAAAACCTTTATTTGAAGGAGCGATGCTGTGGAAGCGCAGAAAAGTCTAGATTATTCCCACCTGAATTCCTGCTCCCTGCCCTACTCTGAAGTGGTGGTGGTAGGAATGCAGGAAGAGGCACGACTGGCGGAAGACAAATGTACAGACAGCGACTTGAAGGGCAAAGGCCTATTTTAGACCACAGTAGGAATACAGTAAGGGACTCCTGAGATGGATACGAGTACTTAGAATACATATTTCTTCTTAAGTGAGCTTTGGTAGCTTTTGTTTTCAAAGATATTTTCTCATTTCATCTAAGCTGTCAAATTTACCATGACAAAGCTGTTCACAATATGCTCCCTTGTAATTTTAAAAATATTTTTTGATTAATGGACTTTATTTTTCAATAGTTATAGGTTTACAGAGACATTGAATACAGAGCACAGAATCCCACGTAGTTCCTTACTTTGCATTACTGTGGTGCCAGCTGAGCATGGACTAGCTCCTCTTATAATGTGAGTCAAATTAAATGCTTCTGCCCTTAAGTTGCAGGTGTCTGGCACTGTGCCCAGCAATGGGAGGGGTGACTAATGTAGTACTCTTTTTTTCTTTTTAAATCTGACTTTTGCTGGGGATTTAGCTCAGCGGTTCGGTGGCCTGCCTTGCAAGCGCAAGGACCCGAGTTCAATCCCCGGTACCAAAAAAAAGAAATTTGACTTTCAATTCTTTTTTGTTAGTACATAGAAAAACAACTGACTTTTGTATGTGATCTTTGTAGACTCACTGGAATTGTCTATGTACATGATATTAAATATAACTAGAGACAATTTATTTCTTTTTTCATTAAGTTTATTGGCACTTTTTTAGGTATATAGTACATTTACTTCATCATTGGGATCTTGTACCTTTACATGATGTATATTGGTTCTTATTTTTTCCCCATACCCCTACCCTCCCTTCATCCCCTCTACCCTTCCTTATTTACAGAGACTTTGTTTCCATTTTTTCCGTTTTCTCATAGTTTTTCCTTTCCTTTCTTTCCTTTCACCTACCCTTCCCACTTCCCCTACTCCTTTAGCCCTTTCCTTCCTACTTCACATTATCGATTATACAATTTGAACATTATTTACACTTTTAGTTTTTCACACCAGAGAAACTATTTGGTATGTATATGTGTGTCCTATTTATTTCACTTAAGAGCATGGCCTCAATATGCATCCATTTTCCTATGAATGACTCCAGTTTCTCATTCTTGATGGCTGAGCAGTACTCCATTTTATAGAAAAACCACATCATCTTTATCCAGTCTCCAATTGATGGGCAATTGGGCTGTTTCCAAGTTTTAGCTATTACAAACAGTGGCACTATAAACATGGGTGTAACATATATCACTGTGGTATGATTCGTTTAATTCTTTTGGGAAAATATCCAGGAGAGGGATAGCTGGATCAAATGGGACCTCTAATCCTACTTTTTTGAGGTATCTCTATATTGTTTTCCACAGTGGTTGCACCAGTCTGTGTGAGGACCAAGTTTCCAGGTCACGGTGGGCTCCAAACCCCTCACCCAGAATAGAGTAAATGCAAAAGTTCCTTTCTGAGAAATTTCATTCTATGTGACAGTTTCCATTCTATGTGGCAATTTCTCTGCGCTTCTAAAAAAATTCCATTCTTCTCTGTGCTTCCTCCTCTTTTAGGGCACCTCCACACTGCTTCTGTTCCTCTTTTTAAAATGTTAAGACAAACTTCTTTTTGTGTGATCTAATCAATATAGGAATTCATTATAGTGGATATAGTTATATATCTTAGTTAGCAAAAGTTTGAAAAGAGGAATTAATTGTCTAATGAAAAGAGGAATTAATTCTCTAAAGGCCTTAGGTAACTTTCCAATATGTACCCTCCCAGCACCCCATAATAAATTTGCAAATGTAAGCATTAGGTCATGTTTCAATGTGCCCTCCTGATGCCCTTTGATGACAAGGGAAAACTAAAAATAGTAACAGAAAAATCCTATATAAACTTGGTTCAAAGTTGGATCTGGGCTCAGTCTGAAGCCGCTGTGACGGTGATACCTGAGAGTCCAGGCTCAAGCTTGCAATAAACTCCTCTTGCAATTGCATCGGACCTGACTCCTTGGTGGTCTTTAAGGACTTCGCGACTTGGGCATAACATCTGCACTCCCACCAACAGTGGTGAAGGGTTCCTTTCTCCCCACAACCCCACCAACATTTGTTATTGGTTGACTTCTTGATAGCAGCCATTCTTTGTGGGGTGAGGTGGAATCTCAGTGTTGTTTTCATCTGCATCTCTGGAAAGACCAGTGATGTTGAACACTTTTTTATATATTTATTTGCTGCTTTTACTTGTTGAGACAACTTATTTCTTGAATCTGAGCTATTTGAATTCCTACACTGAGGAAGTATTTGGCCATTTTTAAAATACATTTTTCCCCCACATTAACCTCTTTCACTTCTTTTAGAATGTTCCAGAGGTTCCTGTGGCTCTGTTCATATTTTTCAGCCTTACTGGCCTGCTTTTCAGGTCAGATAATTTCTATTCATATGTTTTTTAATTCATTGACTCCTTTGTCTTTTCATTCTGCCATTTTTCTCATCCAGTGAATTTTATTTCGGATATTGTCTTTTTCATTTTCAAACTTTTCATTTAACAATAGTTTTCTTTTTTCTGCTGAGTAGCGTCCTCTTTTCATTCATTTTAAGAGTTAACTTCTGAGGCATGATTATAATATCTACTTTGAAGTATTTGCCTGAGGCGGTCACTATCTGAGTAATCTATGTTAGGCATATGCTGGTTATCTTTTCTTTTGAGAATAGGTCACATTTTCCCAATTCACTACATGTATGGTGATTTGGGTTATAGGCATTTGAATATTAGATTCATATTGAGAATCTGTGTCCTGCTAAAATTTCCCAGAAGATTTTGATCTCTGTTTTAACAGGCATCCAGGTTCAGATCGCTCATTCCGTCTTGACTTCTTTGGACGGTAGCTTTTATGTCAGTTCTATTCTCAATGCCTTTGCTACCCTGGTTTGCATTTGTAGTGCATGTGGACTTCTTAAGGGTTGATCTAGGCAATGGAGAGTGCTTTACATCATGATTCATTTGTGGCAGCTTTGTCGTACTGCCTCAGGCCTCCTCTGCACATGTTAAGTTTGCAGGGAAGCCTGGAATTTGGGAAGCCCCCAATACGTAAACAGTATTTGAGAACCCTCCTTTAGATTGTGGCCTCCACCCCTAATCCATATACTGTTTTTTTAACTCTTCACTTTCCTTAGGGAGTTGTTTATTGTATTTGTCCAGAGTTAAATATTTTAATCAGTGGAGAGATAGGTCACAGTGGCTTTGCTTCAGATTGGTTGGCACCTCAAACATCACCACTTCTTTTAATGCTCAAATTGTCACACTTTTGGATAGTGACTACCTTTCAAGTTGGTTCCGGTGTCTTTTTGCCTTGACTGCATTAAGTTTCAGAACGTTCTTTCATAATATCTAAAATAACAACCCTATTTTTATCAGTGATATAAACGTGATAGATTTTCCTTGTTACATAGGGAGGATAGTGGTGTTTTCTTTCCACATTAGTA